AATTTTCGTTGTTTGACTTAGGTGACTTACATCTGCTCACGATGGTTTTGAGGTTTCGGCTTCTTTCCATTTCATTATTGGGTCAATGATTTCATCTTTCTTCTGGTCTTCAATTAATGCCTTACCTTTTCAGGATCCCTCAGGCTGGACGGTGGTTATATTACAACTGATCGATGCCAGTTTTTCCTTCTTCTCTGCAGAAGAACAATGTTTGCAGCTTTTTATGTAAGTTCTCCGGGATAGTGTATCAGTGTTGTCGTGTTGTTTCCTGGACGATGCTCGATGTGAAATTCACATTTTTGAAGTCGTTGTAACCATCATGCAATCTGTCCTTCTGGGTTCTTGAATTGCAGTAGCCACTTCAAGGAGGCGAGATCCGCTTTTAAGAGGAACTTCCGCTCATACAGGTACTTGTGAAAATGTTCAAGGGTTTTAACCACAGGGAGTAGCTCTCGACGGGTGACACAATAATTTCATTCTGGTTACAAAAGTGTTTTACTAAAGTACCCGATGACTTTTTTCCTTCCACCAATGCCCACATTACTAACGCTGTTATAAACGACGAAGAGTTCTCTGAACTGTGGGTACGTCAACATTGGGGCTCCAGAGAGTGTAATTTTCAGATATTCAAATGCTTTTCGGCATTCGGGTGGCTAATGGAATGAAACTCCATCTTCTGTAAGTCTGTGAAGTTATCAATTTACCACTATATGAACCCTTGTCTCTCGTCACTCGTCTATAACAAAATTAGTTGAGCATTTCATTTATTGCTGACAGATAACACGGTTTTCTAGACAAACGTTCTACCATCAATTAATCAATTTCGTAGATGACATCATTGACCCGTTTGATAGAGATTTAGCTATACATTCATTGTAAACAGAGTTCACATAAGCATTTACTGCTAACAGATAACGAGCATTTGATAATGATCCTTATTCACAGATTTAAATAGCACGTGTTTAACCGCTTTCTCGCTCTATTACTACTTTTATTTAACTATTTTTTGTCTAATTAACATTATTATTAATCAGTTATCAATTTACCACTATATGAACACTTTGTCACTTCTTCACTTCCTTTTATGTCACAATTGAACCTCAAAGTAAAGAGGGTCTTTAGTACAGCTACAGCACAACTTCGATCAAATATGGAGCTCTACCGTCCGAAGAAAAGACTAACAACAAGCAATGGGCAATGTTATTGAATTGTTGTGGTTTTTTATTTAATAAATTCATAACCAATGTGTCTCAGTATAATACTGAAGAGAATAGAGAAATTGTCACCGAAGTGATATTAATATTCGAATGATCATTCGAGTGTTTTTTTTTTTCTGATTGATGACGTCTTATTCATGGTTCGAAAACAACTCTCGTAATCTGACGATTGCAGTTACATTGAGATTGATGATTCGGCATCCTAGACAAAACAAAAACAGGTCAACGATTAACTATAAATTATTTTTAGGAGAAACACTTTGTTTGGAAGTTCCTTAGATATTCCATTATTAAAGTCGTCGTTCTAAATGTTAAATAGTAATTTATAAAATTTTTTCCATATCGATATGTTCTTATGCTTTTTGAATGCCTACTACGGAGAAAAAATACTGTAGGAATTCATAGAATTTCCGACAATAAATTGTGAGGTATACGGTGTACATATGCAATACAAATAAGAATGTTATGTACACACATGTTTTTATATTTTTTTAAATAATAAATTTAATTTGATAATTGAATGATTATTTATTAGACACCCTTCTAAAAAAAATCCTAGCTACATCACTGCAGCCTCTATATGTACGCTTACGTATATTTAACAAAGCTTTCCGTATAATTGTATGTCCTTTTAATACAAAACTACTCCCAAATTTATAAACTGCTTTGGAGTTGTAGCCTGAAAATAATTCTCCCTACATCTCAAGAACTACGCGCCTCACAAAAAATGTATGGGGCAAAAAATTATTATTTTTCGTTAATCTACCTATTCTAAAATTTTCCAGAATTATGAATTATAATTATAAAATAATTCATCTAAATTTTAGTGGTAATGCTAATTTGACAGTGAAATCGTTGTTCAAATAGCAAGAAGACATTTTTGAACTAAAGTGTTGGTTAATATTCATTACTTAATACTTACCTCAACTTTTTTTGTTTTCAAATTTATTCTGAACGTTTGTTCTGAAATTTCTTTGTTAACTGCTGCTATGAGGGAAACCAGAAAAACTATTCGTTATAGTATGTGTGTATTTGTATGCACTACATTTCTTTTTCTTTAAAAGAAAACATAACCTCTACCACACAGCCGGCCAAACTCCGCTCCTAGCGCTTCTAAGTGCTCCTGCAAGAGCAAGTGAGAGATATACAAATCTCGTGACCAAAAAAGGGAGGTATAGTGTCGAACGATACCGGTCTCTCTGCCTCCATAATTATAACCAATAGGCTTGGTTACGGAGAAATAAAGGCATGTATCGCTCGTTTCTATATTTGTCCTCGTTGCATACAAATGTAATTGCTCTTAAGAAGTCAAAGTTTGACCGGCTCTGCTTTACCACGTGCTTTAGGAGGTTTCAACTTTAAAACTAATCACGGTGTTGTGTATTGACAGCTGATTGATTCTATATGATAATATGATATAATGAACTGTGTTTCCAATTTTTTTGTAAGACGCGTAGGCCAATCGATGCATTCTTTCGAGAGGCGGAACTTTTATCTTCCTTTGACGGGAAAGCAGAATGTTTTTGGGCACATGACCGGTCGCCGGTTGTTGCATGTACTTTTACCGATTTTCTTATGGATCCATCTTCCATCTGTTTTTAGTAGTAGTAGTAGTAGTAGTAGTAGTAGTAATAGTAACGAGGTCAATTGTTTGCTATCACATATCTGTTCTGAATTTATAAATAAATTTGTTTTCGATAGTTTTGCAGTGTTTTTTAGAACAGAAATTAGTGGCGACCATAAGAAAAAGAAAACCATTTAAAAAAAAAGTTCCAAGAATAGTAGTGGTTTTGAATCGAGTTTTGTGGTTCGGACATTTTTACGCATACGACAAATGATCTAGACCAGTTACTGCAGAATTATCCGCAAGACTAGCGGTAAATTAGGGTTTCGTTCGAATTTTTAAAGTGTAAAAATCATGAGCTAAAAACAGTCGACTTTAAAACATACGAAGCTATGTTAAAACAATCCGGTGCAGAGCATTTGTTAACTGAAATGGAGAATATCAAGGACTAGTTATCCTTTTGGACCCAGTTCCAGAAAATTTATGAAGATGAAGATATCGACGATCACGAAAAGAGCGAAAATTTTAGGTCACTTCTCCCCCATCGTGCGGTTAATGAGAATTTGACAACAAATATTAGACTGGTATTTGAAGCGTCAGCTCATGAAAACGATGAAAAGTCCCTGAATCAGTGTCACGAAAAGGAAACCAATGTGATAGAAAGCATACCTTCAATTTTGTTTAGATTTGACATACATAAAGTGTTTCTGTAAATATGAGTAAATACAAGAGATCCCATTTCCTTAAAATTTTGCGGATTGACTTCGATCAGAGATAAATAACGTACTGCCATAAGTGTGTTGTATTTGGAGTCAATAGCAATCCATTTCTTTTGGGACCGACTGTCGAATACCATCTCAATAAGTGTCAAAAGAAATGTAAAGAAGGTATAACCAAGTATTCCTTTGGACAATTGCATTATCAGCGTTTCAGATAAGGAGAGCTTAACGTAGTTGCAGAAAGTCAAATTTGACTTCAGTTTTTACTTGCCGGGCTTCTGTTACAGCGAGTATAGAAAAAAAACTGCCTTGGGATAAGATTGTAGATAAACAAGTTGATGAATCCTTTCGAGAATGGCACAAGGAGTTACCACACTTGCTCAAAATAGAGATTTCTTGCTGGACAGGTCTGGTATTAGAGGCATCCCACATCTGAGTATTAATACATTTTGTGACGCCAGTAAAGTCGTATATTCGGCTGTTGTCTTCCTGAGGGTAAACACGAAACATGTAGAAATTTACCTATTGACCGGCAAATCCAGGGTTAATTCAATACAGATGTTAACCATACCCAGACTTGAATTGATGGCTACAGTTATCGGTGGTAGATTTATGCTAATGTGTATAGATCTCTTGGATGCAACAAAAACAGAGTGAGGAATCTTCGTATGGAACAGGGTTGTTGAAATTCGTGCATTGGCGGCTCTAGGTGAATATCGTCATGTTTCAGATCAATCAAATTCGGCAAATGTGTCTTCAAGAGATTACTCTCCTAAACAGTTGCTCCAATCAAAATGGTGGAAGGGCACCTAGATGGCTCATTGAGAATTCAGAACAATGACCAGATAGAAAATATGAATGTGAGATGTAGAAATCCGTCAAGAACAATGAAAGAAATTAGTAATTACACTTCTAAACAATTCTGGCATCTGCATTAATTGTCAAGCTATTTTAAACCTGTAAGGTTGATTACGTGGTAGTTTCATTTTTGTATAATTTAAGAAGTCTCACTGATAAACATGTAGGAGAACTGACGAAAGAAGAAATCAGTGACGGAACTTCTGTTCAAAATTATTCAGAATGAAACGTTTTATAGGAAAAATAATCTTGATCCATTTGTAGATAAAGATGGATTAATTCGTTTGAGAACCAAGATTTCAAACAGAGAAGACAACGAATATTTCAGATACCCTATTATATTGCCTTTCAAGCATCATATAGTCGAAACTTTAATTTTGAAGGAATATGCTGATTGCGCACAACGGGAGTTCAGGGTGTTTTGAGTAGATTGAAAGAGAGATTTTGGATATTAGGAGAAATACTTGCGGTGAGGTCGACTTGTAAAATGTTATATCTGCAAGGAATACAACGTCAAATCAAATACAAATACCCGAAAATTAAATTGTATCCAATTTAAAGGCTCCTTTTGTCTCTTTTTGTATGCTCGAAAGTAAGTGACCCTGAAAAACGCAATAAAAATAAAAATATTTTAGACCACATTTCAAATTTATTTATTAGTATCAAATATGTCAAATGAGACGTAAGATAGTTCTGAAAATAATTCTGTTTTAGCTTTTATATCTGAAAACTAAAATTACATATATTAAACAAAGCTAGATATCGTCATTCAAATAATACCATGATTTTAGCCTCCATTCTTGAGACAATAGGTTGTCATGCGTGCTTGATACATTTTGGTGTACTTATATTACCGCAGTAAAATCTATTTGCAGTTGTTTGCTGACTGACCCTATAATGTAAGAAAAGAATGTGTGGTTTAATTAGGTATGCGAAAAACATATTTAAATTATTGTGAGAATTTCTAATACCTCTTTTTTAATGCTAAAATAACGCACAACTCATGATACAGTATGTGGTTAGTTCAGGCTAGAGGGCCGAGTCTTTGTATTCTCGGTGTTGTTGGCCAGTGGCGTACAAGGCGAACATCCATACAGTCGGCTAACTTCCTACAACTTACTTCACAGAAGAGGGTTGTATTATTATATTTGGATGCATGAATTAATGTAACCAAATGCGCAGCAGTATTTACAACTGGTTCTGTAACACTGGGGCAAGAACAATCCGGCACCTGTATGACAACCCAGCATTTACACTATTTCATTGAACTTATTGAAAATTGTTCGTTCTTGTGGTTTTGCTATATCAAGTTTCATCAGGTAAACTCTTGACTAGCTAATATTTTAAATAGTAATAGGTACGTATATTTCTACTTAATTATTTGGTTTAATGGATTACTAAAAAAATCATCTTTAGAAGTAGCGTTTAATCAATAATAAATGTATTTTGCAAAATCAATAAGTAAATCTGATTTTCTTGAATCATTTTTAATTCAGTGCTTGCTCTTTCACATTTGTTTGTTTTGTACCATCATCAATTTGATTTAATTTTAAAATTGATGTGGATGTCTTATTAAAAACGGAGTGGTAAACTTTAGACGTTTTACAGTCATTACTTTTTTGATGTAATTGACGCACAGAAATAGTCTTCTCTTGATGTTCATCACATACTTCGCGGACAGGCCCATATGGATTTCGCGAACAATAGTGGAAAATGATGAGAAACACTGATTCCACTGTGCAGATATACCCTATTATCTGAAAATAAAAAAGTGTTGTAATATAAGCAGGATATCTCGAAGGAACGATCACGGAAAGTGATCAAATAACAATTCAAATATTAACGGTAACAACATACCATAAATTTTGGTATTTAAGAAATACGTCTTGTCTATAGCTTAGTTCAAGTGACTAAACAACATTTAGGAAAATGCTCTGTATCACGCAAAAGCAGATACGTATAAAATATAGTATATTCGATAATTAAATGTATCACACATAATTTCAAAAACATTGGCAGTGAAAGCTGGGATAATAAGGGATTGATTTCTGTGGTCCGACCGTGGTTTTATTTTTTTTTAAAGTATGACCGGACCTCGTTGAATAATTTTTAAGTCTAGATGGAAGAACCCTACGATAACCATAACATAACTTAACTCACTAAAAACTATTGATTAAGTATATAGTTTTATTTTAAAAATATATAAAATATAATAAGAATATAATTATGTAGAAATATTGGCACGATTGAAATTGATTTAATAAATAAATAAGAAAAATTATTACACCGGTTGGAGAACAGCACTCGGATCATCGATGAGTGACCGTTTTTCCGACCAAGCGGTTCACCAGTGAGCTAATCACTCAGTTTAAGTAACTAAGTCACATGTATCGGCACATTGGCAAAGCATTTACACTTCTTAATAATATTAGCACAATTCTATATAACATACTGAAAACAAAAAGGGTATTAGTGGCGTAAGAATAGTATGTATTTGCCTACATTAACATACAAACGAATCATTATGATGTACATAGGTACCTATTGTGTGAAAATGTGTGAGAGTTGAGTCTGTCAATAAAAATCCGAGAAGTGGTATTCAGAATATAAATAAATGTATTTATTACACAGGATTTATCAAAGAAAACCTTCGTTACTGAAAATAAGCACTAAGAATAATGCAAATACATTCAAGAATTGAAATGAAAACTTCTCTCTAGTTTTAATCCGAAGACTCCAGAAAAATTAAGTTTTCTCCGGGCTCGAGTTTATAAAATATAATCTCTGGTTTTTCAGTTTTTATGAACAACATTGACAATGTTCTTATTGAATGTCGCACATAATGAAGTTACTGTACCTACTTATTCTCTACCTAAAGTATAGAGTTAGCTGGTGGACGCTGTTATTTTGAATGCTTGAGTTTTTATTATTTAAAATATTTAAATTAATTAATTAATTCATGTACTGGTTGATTATTTTTTAATTATCTAAAACTAATAAGCTTTTTTTGTGCATTTATATACCTATTTATTAAGTTCATCTCAAATTCATATCAAGTTATTACGAATGCCAAATTTTCAAAATTAAATCCCGAATATTACTTCTTATTATTTTAACTGCGAAATATGTATAAAGGGTTTACAAGTTAATCTTCAGAATCAACAAATCAACCATTCGCAACTAGGGTTAGGCGTATTACACGACACTGCTATTGTCTACAACAGCTAGCTACACACTTAGGTGGATTGTATAGTACAATGCGATGTAGCACATCGAGTTGTATGTTTCTCTTTCAAACAGGTAATTTCGCAGGACAAAATGCCCGGTCTGCAGTTAAATTGATAAATGAAGAATGGCAATCTGACCCAATAAAAAATTTTTGAAGGTAGTTAATGTTTGTTTCCATCTTCTGAGCTTTCAGCTCTTTGGCTTCGAACTCACCTTAGAGATCTATCTAAAATTTAAAACTAAAATATTACAGTTATCGTTATCGTTATGTGAAAGACTTGTGTATATTTTAAAAAATTGTGCCAATAACATTAAGCGTAAATTATATCTATAAATTTTAGATAGACCTCTGTGGAGTACTCGAAAATAGTCGAAAGTTAAGATGATGAAAATTAACTTTTCTTACCCAAAAAATTTTTTATTGTCTCGGATTACCATTTTTCACTTGTCAATTCAATTACGTGCCTACTTACACGGTATTATCAATCCCCTATAACAAAAGAAATTAGTCTGAACTTCTACTGGACTTGAAATTTCCAGTGGGAATTCCTTCCTCAAAAATTAGACTGCAAATATCGTAATCAGCAAATCCAACACAAGAAGTGGCTCGGACGGCTTTATTAAACCAGAAAAAACTCAAAGAACTACTATCCATCAAGTGAAGTGGAACTAAAACAGCTCTCGAAAACCTTATTATAGCAAGAGGAACAATAGTCTGTCCAAAATGCAACTAGTGCAACAATAACACATTAGAAAATCAAAACTTAAAGCAGGGCGTTATTCCTGCATAGAGATCAATAATTTTAGAACGTTCGACGATCACGCCACCCTAATCAGCTAGCCGCACTGCTGTTGAACCAACGATAACTCATATTCCTGACCACATCGACAAAAATCGGGCCAAGCTATTGCATAAATAACAAAGCTTCAAATCACCAAGAAATAATAAACGTAACCGTAGAGTAAGAATATGGAAGAAATGAGAGAAAAAACCTGAAAGCTAAAACTACCCACTGCGACGCCTGACGATTCCGGTGCAAAACCATAAAAAAAAGATAGATAAACTGGCGGTACAAACGCTGAACTACAGCAAGTCCTAAGATTAGCACGCCACAAGACTCTAAGCGAAGCTCTATCATACACCTCAGAATTTGAAGCCTCGAAACAGGCTTCCAAAGATCATGTACGGGTGCAACCAGAAATTACCGATATGCGTAATCAACGTCCAGAAAGCCACTGCACTGAAGATTGGAACCCAAAACGTTGGGAATGTGGAAGAACTGGCCGTTTTGCTCGGGACTGCAACAACTACAGTGGTCGTCCGAAGTGCTGAAATTGCAGATAAATAGGACACTTATGTCGAGAGTGTTCTCAAATAAAACACGGCAGTCTTCATGGGGCGCAAGTTGACTCATCCTCACAAAGCCCCCGAAGAAGGCTCTATAAGCCAGCACATTATTAGAAAGGTTATTAACACAAGGGCATTCACCACCAAATCAAAGTAGTAATAGTGTGAGAACGGTATTTAAATTCATGACAATATTGTACAAACAATAATCCATGCCCGCTCATTCTGACATTTAAAGCCGTTTTGTTTTGGTCAATCTTTGGCCGTGCCAATCCAACACTTTGTTTAACAATCATCGTTCCACGGCTACCACTTATGGTATAATTTGTTTATTTCTTTTCGGACGTCTTCAGATGCAACAAAATATTATAAAAGGCTTTTCACGTGTTCATTACTTTAAGCCAGTGTTTTCCAACGTTTTTTGTCACATAATTCACTTGAAGCTTTTCTAAAATCGCTAAATATGTCGCCCCCTCACATATAAATTAAGTTATAATCTGGAATTATTATTGATTCTTGACAAGGGCAAGGGGTGACCTCGTCCTTCCCTTGAAGAATACTTATCGGAGCTCGATAATCTTACGGCCCCCATACGGTTAAACTCTAAACGAGTCCACTACTGAATTGCCCTCCTTGATAATTTGCTCTCATGTGCCCTATGTTGGGAAACGCGTATCTAAGTTCCCTCTGCCATATGGTAAAATAATGCCAAATTCTTCAGGGTGTCAGCAAGTATCCGACACTGTGAACGTTTCCTGCGAAGCGTATAATACAACTAAATCTACTCTTTATGTCGATACTTGGAATGAGGGCTATGCGCAATGAATATCCCTTGCGGTAATTTGCTTGATTCTCGGCCTCAGCCACCTATGAAACACTCCTTTTTTCGAACTCCTTGATGCCAGGTCTGCGGCTGCTCGAAGTGTGATTGAAAGCCTTGTCCTAATTTGTTTTTTAGGTAAAAGGTTCAAAATCCTCACTTTCTCTTTTAAGCACGAATCCGATGGTTTTCAAACAATTGCAAATTGCCCGTCTTCAAACAAACAATACCTATGGATTTTCATCAGCAGATCTAGATTTTATCGGCATGCATCTTTAAGCATCTTGTACGTTTACCTCTTTCATTATTTATTTAGAAAGCTTCTCAATGATGAAAAGGGAGGGATGTCTGGAAATTTTCCCTGACGATTCAAGTTCTTAAAGAATGTGTGAGCAATATCGGTCCGGTCACTTCCTTTCTTTCTTCAGTGGGCAATCAGTCGTTGCCACCGTTTTATAAGTTTTGAGAAAAAGATAAAAGTTGCGCAAAAACATGGTTTCGAGTTGGAATCTCGACTTGGCTTTTGACATGAGAAGTTAGACCATTTTAGGGAACGTAACATTGAATTAATGGCGAAAAATAAATCACGGGAATGAAAAATTGTTAGAATGTGAAATATGTATATGTGGGAAAATAATGTGTACACTGAATTATTTTGCGTTAAATCAAAGGATGCGGTACTTAAAAGACTCACAATTCCAAAGCTGGAATAATGTGGGACTGTATTTTTAACCAAACTATATAACATCGTCGTTCGGTGTAAATTAGATAGTATATGATTTTAGACGGATTCGATAATCGTCTTGCATTGGCTTAAAACTTCATTGAAAAAACCTTTTGTTTCAAACAGATTCGCAAATATACGGGTAAATACAAATACAAGTGACTGGTACCACATACGGACTCACGACAACCCTGTTGATCTTGCTTCGAAGGAGTTGCTATCTGCGGAGTTCGTGCTTCCTTCCCTGTGGCAGTATGGTCCAGTATGGCTAAATAGAAACTGCACCTACAAATGAAATAACACTGATTGCTGAGCTACCTGAGTTACACAAAGTATCATGTTTTATAACAAAAACAAATGATTGTGCTGATAATAATGTGTGGTCGATTTTTACTCGATTCAATAGACTGACAAGAGTTATAGCATTTTGTTTTAATGTTACAAACGACCACGCCGTACAGACCATCTTACAATATCGGAAATTCGGACATCTTATGACACAATAATCAAACTTACTCAACAGTTATTATTTTCAACTGAAACATCTCAACTTCAACAAGACAAAGTAATCCACCAAAATGGCAAACTGAGAAGGATAAATCCAATAATTTCCACCGATGGTCTCATTCGAGTGAAG